GAAGTTTCTGTCCACAATTGGAGACCCGCAAAGCTTATCGCCGTACATACTGCAGAGATGGCTATATACCGCAAACCCATGTGTGACAAATTCAACCTCTTTACTAATAACCAACTCCAAAATTTTCATCACCACCGAATCAGCATGATCCCTTGCTGACTTTGACCATAGATTGCCATTGAGTTAGCTTCACACACCACCAAGCGTTAACGTTAACATACCATGGTAAATTCCAAGGTTACCAGATAACCTGCCGAGCAAAAGCTACAATAATGTTCATTTTCTTGAATGAACAATAAATAACATTGAGACCACAATAATAACTAGAACGTGCTGTTAGGATGCTAAAAAATGTGTAACTATGAGAGATTTAATTAAACAAAAAATTAGCTTTTAAAACTAGAAAATTAACAACACTTTAAAAATAAATTAATTAATTACATTCGTGGAAATCGAAACCAGAATCGGCAACAAAATGTGACGAAATTGAAGTCCCCTAAACGATCGAGTTGCATATATACCCAAAAAAATATAAACTCAATCAGAGGATCAATATTTTCTTCTAATTGCTATTATGAACTGCCAAAACATAAGATTGCGAAGCGCTATAATTCAAAGTCATGAAAACATGCGTAAAAACTTTAAAATCAAAGCTGATTAGGCGAAATCAGGCATGAATCTTCCGCGTTTGGTATTAATTAAACGAGAAATAAGCAAAGATCGAGCGAATCACGGACCTGATTCGAGCTGAGACGACGCTTACGCTCTGCTAGCGTCGGTTGGGGGATTCTGCAATTTTCACCCGCGTCGAGATTTTTTTCGCAGAAGTGAGAGAGAGAGAGAGAGAGAGAGAGAGAGAGAGAGATTTTATTTTCTTTAATTTTATATTTTGACTGTTGAAGAGAATACGCTGGGTCAATTTTTGCTCGAAGTGGAAAGCAAAAGCGATAGGCACCTTCCCTGACAGACAACGCTTGTTATTGGGTTTTTTTAATTCGTCTTTTAAACTTTTTATTGGGAGGAAAAAAGAAAAAAAAACGTTTTGCTGAATATTATTACATTTTTGTATTAGAAATTTAAGTCTTCTCCCAATAAGAGAAAATGTTGCTAATTACTATACCTAGAACCGAAAAGATTTTCCTCCCTACTTTTTCTTGGATCTTTTATGGAACAATTCAATCTCAATATAGTGATTTTTCTTCTTACATAAGTTTGAACTTTGAACCCACAAAGTATGCGTAGATCCTACTATGCATTTATGAAAAATGGGTCTTATTAGAACTGCCTAATTCAATAATATTTTCTATTGTCGCGGTTAATTTAGTCAGGATAATTAGTTAAATAAGATTGATGAATTCAATCATATAAGGATATAGGATTTTCAATTATACTAATTTACGTTTGGTCTAATAGTTTTTCGTTCAAATATTGAAAGAAGTCTCAAATTCAAAATTCTCAAAATGCTATAGAAAAAAAAGAATTAATTCCAATACATTATACAATATTTACGATAATAACTAATAATATTTGTTATAGTGAGATTGTTGTGTGTATTACCTCGTTGCAAAAATATATTTGTTTATTCTTTGTAAAGAAACAAATATTTTTGGGTTCATGTCGTGCTTGGGCTCTACAACTAGCCCGGATAATGACTGAAAAAAATAATTGGAAAAATTGGCGCATTTGACAGTTGTACATGGATGACTGGGCACAAGTATAACTATTAAAAAAAAAGGCGAAAACGGAGAATTCCAGAATTTGAGAGCCCAATTTTTCTCCATAAAAACCCGCGTATTCAAATCCAAAACCCTAGAAATCGCAGGGGATTTTGTTGTGGTGATTGGGATGGGGATAATTAAGAGCAGCTTCTCCTTCATTATGGGCACGGTTGCAGGGGTCTACATCGCCCAAAACTACGCCGTTCCTAACATTAGGAAGCTCGCCGATACTGCCGTCTTCATTGCCAAGCAATACGAGGAGAAGTACCGCAAGCCCAAGAAGCGAGACGACGAATAGGATCATTGGTTGTTCTGCGACGCCGTTTCGAACCCAGGTTATCGTTTTGGGAAATTCCTTTTTTTAAATATTTGTTCTTGTTTTTTTGGGATCGGTACACGATGAGGAAAAATTTACTGAAGAAAGTGTTATAGATTATTTGTAATGAACTTGTTTCTTTCAGACTTCAATTTTAACCTTCAAATGAAAAATGTATATTCTTTTTCATTGCTATTGAAAAGTTGTGAAGGAGTTCTATACTTTGTACAATTTATTGCTGCTGTGTCTGCATTTGTGTAAACATAGCTACATATGAAGCTTTTGAGTCAATAGTAGCTGTTGAGCAAAGATGCCTTATGGATCATGATGCTTTTAGTGGAAAATCAAAGTTTTGCTTGATTGTACACACTTATTCTCGAGTGTCAAGTGAGAGTGTGCACTTTCACATAGTGAAAGTAGTCAGCTGTTGAGCGAAGATGCCTTATGGATCGTGATGATTTTTTAGTAGAGAATCAAAGTTTTGCTTGATTGTACACACTTATTCTTGAGTGTCAAGTGAGAGTGTGCAGGTTCACATAGTGAGTGAAAGTAGTCAGCTCTTAGAGTTCAGCCCTTTTAGCAGCTTATTTCAGTGGGTAATGGTTTAGAGACATATGTGTATGTATTACACATATAGTATTAATGAATGATATTAGATATTATGCATGAAAACCTCAAACCCTCTAAGAAATGTAGATAAATTTTGCGTAGAGACGATTAGATAGGTCCCTGAATTTGGCACTTTTAAAGGGGGAATATTCCTGCAAAGCAGGCTAAGGAGTCCAAGGTCCAAAAGTTTGGATAGAAATCTGGAAGGCCATTGGCAAAGAGGCCAAACAGAGTATCAATACGCGCAGAGTGGGACTATCAGCCTTGGATATGAGGGTTGGAGAACTTTCGGTAGAGTGGGCACAATGTGTGGATTGACACAGTTGAGGGGCAAGAAGCTGGCTACTACTGTCAGGAAGGTCTGCTTGGTAGGCTCAACTTGGAATGAGAGAGATAATAGAATCTTTGGGAATGAATCTTCTTCCCCTTCCCCTCTTAAATGTTGTTGAATTCTTTCATCAATACAGTCAGGAGTCAGGAACAGATGAGTTTCTTATGTTAATTTCCTCCTTGCAGAGATGTTCCTCTGGAATGGGGTATCTGATGAAAGTTTGGTTGCCTCCATTTCTGCTTCTATCTTTTCTTGCTGCTGGTACAAATTTGTTTGGTTGGTCCCTGCTTGTTTAGAGTCGTTCTTTATGCTTGTTTTAGTTTGATAGCCCCTATTCTATCCTCCTTCCCTCTCCCCACCACCCCACCCCACAACACCACACCCCAACACCCAAAAAAAGAAAATAAAAAAAGAGAGCACTTCATTGTGTTGTATATTCTAAATGGGCTGGATAACAGTTAAATAAGATATTGAGACCTGTTGTTCTGAACCTAAGTTCATGCCTTTGCGAGTGAGAGATGACCCTAGCCCACCCCAGCAAAGACAGTTTGTTTGGCTGCTAAACTACTGGAAACGTGTAAATAATGGGCAAAGGTCATCAGGTGAAGGCACCATTCACCTCTCTGTCATATCATATAGAGAGAGTCACAATGAAAAAAGGTCTAATGTGGCGGACAAGGTTAGGTCAAAAACTCTTATAAAAATAATCGGTTAGCAGTATATTATTTGTGGTTCATATGCTGGAATCTGATTAGCAAATACTTAAAGAGGTGATTAGTTTAATCACAGTGCTTCAATTATTAAGTGAATCATGCGGAGCAGGCAGTATCTAATTTGTGGTGGACAAGAATTGGAATTGTTTATCTCAGTCGTTTTTGCTGATTGGATAAAGGGAAGGCAATATGCCACAGAAAACGTAGCGAAACACGACACCATCCCACACTAAATATTCTTGCAATTGCTATAAAACCACAAACGCCACCATCGCTTTAGATTCTGTTCCCAGCAATGTTGTTCTTTATTGCCATGTAATAATGCACCAAACTTTCTAATTATAAAAAGAAAATGGCAAATTAAAAGTTACTGTTGAGTCGACTCGAGTGTGATTCTCTCAAGATCATTTTAGCTTTTCGGCTAGCTTAAGTCACTGAAGAAGTTTTACCCGTAGTTATTACATTGTTATTGGGATGACTCCCTTCATAGTATTATGTCCTTGGTAAATAAAAAGAAATGGCAACAACTCCTTTTACTTTATTTCTTAATCAAACCCTTAAACACGCTTTGTGCATTATGGAAAACTAAATGCCTTCACAGTAGCCAGCCACTCTAATATTCAAAGGGCCATTATTGGCTTTAGGAACCTTTACCCTCAAACAAATGTATAGGTGGGGTCTTCAAGCTTCCATGTTTCATTGACCCAAAGTTCATGATAAAAGGCTCCATCTTCTTCTTCACAGTCGTTGTCATTGCTGCCACCAATTATCTCGTTTTTGTGAGACAACCATAACTAGTTTCCCACCAAACCTTCCTTCCTTTGTAGATGCGGTGGCTTGGCCATGAATTAGCTGCCTACCACTTTCTTTGATGCTCAAAATGGTTCAAGGTTTTTTGTGGAGAGGATTTAGCTATGCAAAAGGTTTTGGCCAGACTGAACTCGACTTCCACTCCTTTGGTCCCACACAGACACAGAGGCTTTGTGTGGTCCTCAGCTGCGAAAACGCACAAACAAAAAGGGAGCAAGTTGTTCTTGTCACAGAGCCTTGCTAGATGAGAGGATCAAAAGCTCTTTGCCGTACTATTTTGTTTGGTCATCGTTACCCCGACAGTGACAAAAAAACAAAATTTGAACACGCTTTATCACAGACGCAACTATTTGTGGCAACTTTAGTTATGGTGGTGGACAACTTTTTGAATACTTTTCCACGAAAATGAGAGGAGGATCCTCTTCAAACCTAAAAGAAGCAAATTCCTGGTTTTCTCTTTTGTCACCCTGCATAGTGTTTGGTTGATGGCAACCAGATTTTCCAAACACAAAATAGCAGTTTAGGATGAATTTGTCATCCTTCTGTGATTAATTTCATTAAAAGGCACAAAATAATGTACACACATATATGATACAGTACAAAGTTACAATATACTCCAATCCCTTTTCTTTTCTTCCCTTCAACTTTCCCTTCAATGTGTTACGTATACTAGGGAGAAAGTTTAAAAAAAATCCTCTCCTTCCTAGGACCATAACAGAGGATCCTTCTCCTCTTCATTGAATAAGCAGCAAGTCTGAAGCAGAGCTTGTGGACACCCCCGATGATACCACTCATAACAAAGGTTGTAAAAACCCTAAGAACATCCTCTTAATTATCACACATCAATTACTGTGGGTTGAGACCTTGATGCAGACCGCGATCTCGACTCTTCAATCTTTGCACCCACTTCGGCCACGACAAGCCTAGTCAGAAGCAGCCCTGCAATTAGAGCTGCTACCATTAACATTGTGAAAACTCCACTCCAGCTTTTGGCTGAAATATAGCCAGTTAATAATGGACCAATAGCAGCCCCAACAGAGCCTGTTCCATCTATAATTGCTGTTACCGTTGCCAATGCCCTCGAATTCCCGCGCAATGAGCTATGTGTTCCCAGGTCTGCGGACACAGCTGTTGTTATTAGAGCATATGGCCCATTGACAAACATGCCGGTGATGAACATAAGTGCAATGTTCACAGCCATGGATACATGGCCATAGCTTCGGTAGAAAAAGAGAGCAGGGATAGCACAGTACATGAAACTTGCAGCTGTGATGGCTCTGGCATCTAAGCGATCAGAAATATGGCCAGCAAGGATTCCTCCAAGAACCCCTCCAACATCGAACAATGTGGATAAGTTACCAGATGCCTCACTGGATAAGTACTTTCCATCAATAGCTGCAACACGTGTTAAAATGTAAGTCAGCCAATCACAAGAGTATGCCGTGTTAAAATGTAATGTGAGCCAAGAAAATGTGTTAAAATGTTCACAATGACTGAATTTTGAATTGTTGACAAACGGAAATATGCTACTAGCCAGTTAAAGAGGACTCCCTCCAAAGACTAGACACCGACACAACACATGTAATGGGAGAAAATTTTCAGTGAAAGTTCAGTTTCTTTAACTTCTCTAGCAATGCCCTTATCATCTTTTAGTAATAACATGCCCCCATAAAAAAGCACATCAAGAAATGCTCTTAACATAACTACAAATTTGAAACAGCAAGTAAGTTGAATTACCTGTATGACTAATGTAGAAAGGAAGCCAATAGAGAAATGTATAAGCCACCAACTTGGAAAAGAAAAGGCATAAAGCAAAAGGAGCAACTCCAGGAATTTTCCAAGCTTCTAGGAACCCCACAGCACTCTCCTTCACCTTAACCTCTGGTTCCAATAATGGTTCTGTTACTCCTGCTGCCCCACATTTCTTGGGAGAGTCCAATTCATCTTCTTCGGCTCCAACAGAGTCAGGACTAACAGGCAAGAATAGAAAAACCAGCACACCAACGGTAGCAATTATGAGACCAGGGACTACAAAGGACCAACCCCACCCGTATGTCAATAGAGCGGAAGCAACCAAAGACCCTGTAATGTTCCCAACAGAAGTATGAGCATTCCATATACCCATAATCAGCCCTCTTTTCTTCTTCCCAAACCAATTACCAACAACTGCGACTACTGAAGGCCATCCAGTCGATTGGAACAAACCAGCAAGCATTTGAACCCCGAGGAAGTAATAGAAAGTGTGAATATTTGCCCAATATCCAATTCCAAATAATGAAGTAAAGACCCCGGCTCCTACCATACCGATGGTTAGAAAGATCCTTAAGTTCGTTCTATCACCCAAATGTCCAGAGAAATACATTCCTATAGCATATACAGCCAAGAAACCTAGGTCAACTTCACCAAGCAAGGCTGTGCCATCTGATCCATTAAACGGGGCCCAACCATCTCCAAGAATCCGAGACAACCTTCTGCCTTCAGCTGGTTCACTTAAGTAAGTCATCCTCCATGGGAAAAACTTCAAGCTCACATCTGAAGATTCGGGATCAAGGGTACTCTTGACCACGCTCGTTGTTTTTCGAGCGGCATGGTAGCTAGCATATGCTAAAAAAGTAACAATCAGAACAATGGCTTGGTGGGTTTTGTAGGAAAGTGGGGATTTCTTTATGTACTCTAATAACCGAATCCCTGGGGGCTTGCTGTAATTTCTCTCTGATGCTGGCTCTGACATTGAAATCATGTATTGATTTTCACTCCAATATTAAGGGGAAGAAGAAGCTCTACCTCCTCTTATCCAGCAAAACCTTCAAGCCAAAGAAAGAGTGAGTCAGTAACATACAAGATGGCAATCCCACAAACAACAAGAATGGAATTAACCAATGAAACTACCAATTCCTAATATTCTTTGAACTACAATTTCATACTAAATATCTCACAGTTCAATTATCTTGAGTGGGGGAACAAGCTCAATTTGACTTCTTTAATACCAGTTCAGAACTACTAATCAAATATAAACATACTTCACTATCAATTCCCTGATTCCCAACTTCCAAACATTCTTGCCAAAGTCAAGAGGCTGGTTCAGGTATTCAAGAGAAAGTAAATAGCCTGAATGTCAATTCACTAGGAAATTCCCAATCGAAGTTTTCAGCATTATCCATAATTCCAGTAGAAATTCAAAAGATTGGAACAGAAAAAGATACCAGATTTATAATCCTGATAAATTTCAAAAGAATCCAAATCAATCTAACTTGAAGATCATGCAGCTGAACTAAAGCCATCCGCATCTCAAACTACCCAGAATTACAGGGGGAAAAGCCTTGAGACAGGAAGAAGGAACATTTTTAACAATCAGAACTGAAACTGTGACTCACCTAACCAGAATAAAGCATGAAACTTCGAGGCAAAAAAAACCCATTTATAAAAATCTCCTGGAAAAAGAAACACAAAAACAAAAACCATCCACGTTGTCGGCACAAACAAAAAATAAATAAAACGATCAAAGGAAAATACAAGAATCTTATCGTTTGCCCAAGCAAATTGGAAACAATCAAAAGAGAAACGCGAGAATCTTTCTTGCTTATAGGGAAGCAACGTTCTGAAACACACAACAAATTAAAAAAATCCAAATAAACAAACAATCAAAAGAGAACTACAAACGGTCAAAAAGTTTGAAAAAAGAAACATATCCAGCTGAAAATTACAAGGATATTTATACATACAGGGTGAGGAACATATACCTATTTAGCTTAGCTGAGCTTGAGTGTAATGCTTTCTACTATATTCTGTCGCGAGTCGCGAGGTTTCTGGCCTCAAAATCCTCTGGATTTTCGATGTAAGTTGCTCAACAAACAACTGCGTTGGTTGGAGCTCTTTAAAGAGAATGCACAAACCAACGTGAGCTTCCGATGCGGGAGGGTAATTATATTTTATGATAGCGAAATCCCCACATCGCCCCCGGTTTGTCCTCTTTCGCTGGATTCGGATTCTCAGCTTTGGTAACTGACGTCGGAATCTGAGTGGACGAAAATACCCTTATGGGAAGTGATTTGTCGTTTTTGCAATGTTTTTCGTGAGATCCAAGCTGGTGGTGGTAGTGTTACTATTACCAAACAACGGCAGTAAGCATTCTGCATTGCCCATTGAAATCAACGCCATAAAGTAGGATGACTTTTTAATTGGCTTTCTGGATATTCAGCGTTCCAAAGCCCCTAAATTTACAACAACAACAAACGACACATGTACACATGTAATTACAGGTGTCAAGAGAAGCAGGGCATGAGACGACACCGTTTTGTGTTGGTCAAACTGGTCGTTCAACCTTTCCCATACACAGGCAGCGAGGCACATCTTATCTTAGTTCAAAAAGGGCAATTTGGTTAAATGAATAAAAAATCACCACCTCAAATAGCGTGGCAAGTTCGTAATTCTACTAACCCATCCGGGTGGCAGCAATCGTCAATCCCACCGGGCCCACCACCTTACGAATAGAGAGATGCTGCGGGGCGGATCATGGAAAGGAATATCCGCATATCCAAACGAAATTATCCGCATATCCAAACGGAATTATACCCTCCCCCGCCAAATTCAAGGCCTACAGTGCCATGTAAGTAAAACACGTGCCAATGACGTGGCGAGGCGGATGGTCAGTGGATGCCGTTTAAGCACTTAAATGACGCACTCTCTTGGCGACTCGTGGCAAATCATGCTTGGCCCTGTGTAGAACGCAGGTCTGCATCAGGATCAGGACAATCCAATACGACCGCGAAGGAGACAGAAATTAGGAAGAAACTTCGTGTTTTTTTGTTTCGATTCGACGTTTTCGGGGCTGTTTTGGATGTTACTATTTATTTATTTGGGCCTCACATTATTAATTGATTCGGTTCGATCTTTTTTACATTTTAGGAAGTTTCGCAAGTTGTTTTGTTGTCTACAATACAACCGTTGAATTTGGGTAATAAAAACGATGGTTGAAGCTATTAGAACCTATTGTAACATACACAACATTAGAAAGAAAAATAAATCTGTTTTCTTATAAACCCAGTTACCAAATTTAGACAGAAACCCGAAAGTTTTCATGGTATTTGTTTCTTGGATTTCGACCTGCGCAAAAGTTTGGGCCAGTGGCTTTCCATACCGACTTCAAATGGGATAATATTATACTTTTCCATGCTTTTTGGGTGTGGATCAGCTAGAATATATTGCTGGTGTGCCATGTTTGCTAGCCTTTTGTGCTTTCATGTGAGGCATCTGGCACCACAAGGTTGTCTACGCTAGTGCCACTGTCACAACATTTATTCATGAGATTGTGGTTCTCATTTGACCTTCTTCTCCATCATCTGAGGTGTTTTCAGCATAAGACCCATATAATGAGTTGCAGGGAAAAGTCAAAAACATGGAGCACCGTACGTAGAAGAAATATCTCAACAAGCAAAGCAGTTAAAAAGAAGCTCGCTTGGGTATGGGTACATGCAATGGTTGTTGTAAGACTGATTATAGCCAACTTCAAGTTTTGGAGTTGCTAAGTTGGGATAATAATGCTTCTAAAAGGAAGGAATTGTGAACTAAAACAGACTGAGAGTAGTGGGCCTGGGCCTAGGCCTAGGCCAAGTCTGAAAGAACTCGATCGTAAGCATAGCTGCATGCATAGGATTCGGAATCCTATTGATTTAGGGATCGTACAAAACAAAAAGTAAGTTTGTGTTTGTGTTTGTGTTTGTGTTTGTGTATAAATCAGGGGGTTGAGGGTGAGCTCTCTTTCATAAATTTATATAATATAAAAAAAATATCAATATTAAATGAGTTATCCTACTTACAAGATTAAAAGAGAAAATCATAATGAAAAGATCCAAAATACAACTCTTAAGGAAATAAAATAAACTAAAGACCTCACTTATTAAGCCCCAAAACTAAAAAAGATAAACTCTTTATAACGGAAATCTTGGGGAAACCCACATTGATGGTCGTCTAGCCTTCCTTAATAGGGCCTTAACATCTGTGGTGTAAGGTTGTAAAATACTATAATCTTCGAGGTTATACACACCCAAATCATACACTCCATCACGTCCAATGGCATTGACACGATCTTGATCATGGTTGAAATATATGCAATTCGGCTTGCATCAAAAAGACTTTGACGCTAACACATATAATGAAGAGTTATCACCTACAAAAATTGCAGCATCACCTAAGTTGGTTTTCTCAATCCAATCACACTGATTGAAACTGAATCCGAATACTCTAAATTTCTTCGTCACGCGTCTGCCACCTTCTTTAGTAAAGTACTTATGAACCAGTAATAATTCTTTCTTATTTGAATCCACGAGATATCCCTTGAGACAGATGTTATTTGGTCCAAAATGGTGTTGAACCAAACTCAGATTGGAGAAAGACAGAGTAGTAATATCAAATGAAAAAAGTCTACTCTCATTATTAATAAAATAAAGTTTATCTTCAACGAAAGCAACTTCACGAATTAAGCGCCAACGCTTGTCAATACTTTGATCAGCATACGTCCATTTTGTGTCCTTATTGAGTCTGATAAATGCTAATTGACAATAATCCTCGTATATGACCGCAACAACGCAATCATTAGCATTTAATACTGGATCTGCTGAAATTGTAGCCTTGTAAACAAAATAATCACAACGATTACTAAATATTTCTCTCCTAATATTAGGAGGGTGCAGTGGAGGAAGACGAATGGTTGAATTTGCTATCTCTCCACCTTTAACCATATAGAAGGGATTTATTAAGTTCACCCTAAAACTTTCATCCACAACTATTAACCATCCTTTTGAAGATCCACAAAAGCGCTTATTCGGCAATCTTAATTGAAAATTAACAAGCTTGTTGTGCGCCACATCGTATAAATTCCATATATCTCTCTTTTGTTCACAAATCATGAGCATTGGAGCTATCATCTTAGCATATTGGCTTAGTGTATCCTTTGCAGCACAACGCCATGGCTTACAAACAAGGCTAAATCCTAATGGTGACTCCAATCTCTCTAGAACTAAATCTAGAAGCTCCATAGGCAAATTTGCCCAATCTGAGAAGAAGGAAGAAAAACAGAAGTCAACTGAAGCCCTATTCTTCAATCTCCACCATGGTTTTGGCTTTTACTAACAAATATGTAAATTATGAATATAAAACTTAAACAGTTATTAAGGAACAAATTGGCAGATCTCAAAACACAAACAAACCAGTTAAGAGAGAATTTAATCCTAAAAATTGATTTTGCATGTATAATTAAGAACCCTAAAAAGATGAATACATAAATCCAATAGTTTCTCAGTGAGACAACATACCTGAATTCATAGATCCGAATCCGCAACAAGACTAGGTTTTTGGACAAATTTCACTATCATGTACATATTTTGTAATGTTTTTGATTGGATTCCTATGTTTTACCTTATATACGGTTTTGAACATGGCTTTGGTGTTTAAATATTCTTCACTTTTGCAAAAAATAAAAATAAAAAATAAAAAATAAAAATCTTTATGTGCTTTTTTGCTTGCAAGATTTTGACCGGTAATATTGTTACTTATTGGTTTAGTGTTACGTACATCTTTAATGGTTTTTGTTGTTGTTACAAATCTTCAAAGTCTTGGCACACAAACACAAATGGTTAAGCAATTAAATTAATGCCAAATTTCTGCACTTGGTAAGATCACAATAACACTAGCATTGTAAGCAAGACATCAAAATAAGTAATCAACTCATTAAACCTTCATTGGCTTTCACGGTATGCATGTTTATCAAATTACAATTGACGATTGCACACGTTCAAATCTAATTTAAGTTGATTAATTCAGTTTATTATTGACCAAGAAATTATGTTTGAATTCTTTTTCTCCACAGCTCTCTGTTAGAGTTTGTATAGGAAAATACACTTTCGTTTAGTCCCATATTAGAAGGGAGCTGTTTCTTTTTATGGTTTATAAATATACAAATTTATAAATAAACCCAATCCTAGACATGTATTTATAAAAAAACCCAAGCACTATTTAAACATAGAAACACACCCAAAATCAACCCCAAAGTCAACTTTTTGGGTGTGTTTATAAATGGGTTTTAAGTGTGTGTAATGATGGGTTTTGGGTGTGTTTATAAAGTGTTTTGGGTGTTGGGTTTTTTTATAATTTCAACCTCCATTTTGGGTGTTTTAGTGAAACTCCCAAATAAATACCAATACTTTAGAAATACTAAATAGGATATAGGCCTAGTGGAGACAAAGTCATGCCTCAAAAAATGGGCCTTGGCTAATATATAATAAGAAAAATTAGGTATTTAAGAGTAATGCTACACTTACCACATTTTTATCCCACATTTCTATATCACATGATGTGGCATGACCATATTATATGTCACATCAATTAAATCAATGAAGTGTATTTTAATTAAGACAATTAGAAAAACAAATACTTGAATAAATCATAAAAAATATATATATATTAAATAATTTTAATTGATGTGGTTGTCCACCTCAACTGCCATATAAGATGATATAGAAATGTGGTATACAAATGTGGTAAGAGTAGCATTATTCATTAGGCATTATCCTCACTAATTAGTATTTTGAGACGAACAATATTTCTGGGTGACTCCAAGGTCTTCTAGCTTGACTCACAGCTTATCAATTTATGCTAAGGTTCCTTGATTGGCCTGAATGTCCGTTACAAACATTGCCATACAATTTTAATCCAAAGAAACTCGTTAAACTGAACATGCCTCGTAGCTGCTTGCCTCAATTTGGAGAAGGATTCAAGATATATTATCATTCATCACTTTACACTTTTGATCCTTATAATTTGAGCCATATTCCATTTTCTCCATTTAGTGTTCGTTTTTACAATTTCAGCTTGTAGTTTGCTAATCTTAGTTTAAGGCTAACTAATAAACTCATACAATATGAGAAAATCTGACATGTGGGCATCTCATGTCAAGATGATACGTTACCACGTCGCATCCAAATTTTCAAATTGGAAATTAATGGACTTAACGATTTGATGAGCTAAGATTTTCAAAGTGGCCTAATGCATGTTAGGAACACCAGAGAAGCGAACACCTTAAAAAAGTTATCCAGTTTTGAAGTATCTGTCTTAAACTACGCACACATATTTTTTGTAACTTTATTTTCTGGGTGCGGATCAGCTAGAAATATTATTCTTTTGTGGTTTCATGTGAGGCATCTGGCACCATAAGGTTGTCTATGTATTAAAAATCGTGAAGAAATTAACATGGTTGTTAATTTCCGCATAATATGTTATGCTCTACGATCTAGTGCCACAACATTGATTCATTAGATTGTGGTTTTCATTTGACCTTCTTCTCCATCTCAGGTGTTTGGCAGGAAAAAAGATTGCTAGTCGGAAAGAGGACCTTCGAGAACTAGTTGAACATTTTAATGTGAGTGTTCGTCCTAGTACATTTTGGTCTCCTTTGCATCGGCTGGTTTTTTATTTTTTATTTAGGAGATGAGACGGCGAAGGGTGTTGGTGTTGAAGAGCCTGAAGCATAGGAGGTTATTGAGATGATTGAGCGAAAGATGGAGACGGAGAGGGACTTGGGGACGAGGTTTTAGGAGAGGAGACGGAAGAGGGCAAGTGAGGAAGCCAGGGAAGTTGATCAGAAGGTTTAGCTTGGAGAGCAAGGAAGGAAATTAGAGGGTCTGAGAGAAAGAGCTTTTGTGTGAGTGTGACTACTAACGTGTCATATTCGGATTGGAGGTTGTATTGGAAGATGTGAACGGGAATAGTGTGGGAGG